CAAGTACCTGGCGTACTGCAACTGCCTGAAGCCGAAGTCGGCTATGGCTGCTCACTGTCTAGCTCCTCGCTCGCTGCTGCTGCTGCGCTAGCTGCGCTGCTGCTGCTCCTCTATGCTGCGCTAAGAATAGCGCTGGCGCTCCTCTGTAGAACCGAAACGAACTGGCGCTCTCGCAGCGTCCAGTTGCTCGATGCCTCAGAATGAGGCTGGACCGGTCTTTAGTACCGGTCAGCAGAGGCTGGCCTCAATGCTGTGAGGCCTGGCCGTGATCTGAACCGTCGAGATCGTCGGTTCAGATCAGACCGGCGGGCGGCAGCCTCAAGAGCGCCGCCAGGCCCAAATGGTAATGTCGTTTGGGCCTGCCCGTTGGGTCTGGTCCAAAATGCGGCCTTTCAGCCTGCTGTACCCCCAAGTCTGGGCCTTTAGGCCCTACTGTGTCTCTCTGGCCCTAAGTCGGGTCCGGTAGGGCCCGTGTGGCGTCGAAGATGTAACACCAGGTGTCCAAGTACCTGTCCCACCTGTCCAATTGCCAAAATGACCTTTGGGCGGTTCTCCGTGCAGCGAGCTCAGCATCCAGGTATACGTGGCCAGATCTCCTCTCTCAACTTGAGGATGGGACGGCAGTGGTTTTGGATAAAACGGTGTGACATGGAGAAGGCATTGAAGACAATAAACGGTGCCGATTGTCGAGCTCTCACCTTCATGAACGGACCAGAGGCCACCATTGAGGAGTAGTAACCCACAAAGATGGCATCATGGAGGCAGCTAGACTGACTGGCAGTTTCATAGAAGGGAGGATTGAATCAATCCTTTTGGATCGGTAGACGGTCATGACATCCAAGCTGAACTGTGAAGCTGAGTGCTTGAACCCAGAGTACATACCACAGTCAGCTGTCTGTGACTGGAAATCCATGCAGAGTACATACCACAGAGTCAGTCGACTGTGGCATGTACTCACGCAGAAGCAGAGCTTTTGGCCCCAGACACCCAGAGTGCATACCCCAGACGGCTGACCCGTCTGTGACCAGTGACCCACACAGAGTACATACCACAGAGTCAGCCGACTGCAGTATGAGTCAGCCGACTGCGGTATGTACTCATGCAGACGCAGAGTTTTTGGCCCCAGAGTACATACCACAGACGGCTGACTGGCAACAGTCAGCTGTCTGTGACTCTGTGACCAGAGATCCACACAGAGTACATATCACAGAGTCGCTGACTGTGGAACGTCCTCACGCAGAAGCAGAGTTTTTGGCCCCACAGTACATGGCACAGACGGCTGACTGTGGTGAGTACATACCACAGTCAGCCATCTATGGCCACGCAGGGTTCAACATTCGGTGTACCCTTGGACCCCCACCGACCGAAAGGAGGACATCAGCTGGCACGTGGGCGATGGGGTGCACATGAAGAGGGCTTTGGGTTCAAAGGATGCATGGGAGGCAGCACTTTTTCAAGACCCCTGCTATGTGCTGGGAAGCGGTCGGCTAACAGCCAGAATTACTGCGGCTGCAAGCAATCAACCACTTGGGCCAGACACCGCCATCCGCTCCAAACAAGCAGAATTAGAGTTTGCAAGAGCTCATTTTCCGGAGGAGAAGAACAAAACCCTGCCAGGAATTTTCCAACGACTGGAACCAGTGAGGGGAGGAAAAGAGCAAGGGGACGGTCCAGATGATGTCCACAACCAGTTAGTGGAGGGCATTCCTGATAAGGAAAGGAAGGTGGAGGCGGGGAATCGGTACAATGAATGGGCGCAGAAGGTGCAGGGCAGCACAAGGGATGGTATGGAGGGTGCTGTGGGGGAGAGCACAGACGTGGAGTACTGAGGTCATCACACCTTTGGCAGGCAAGCAGCTGCACAACAATGCATTTGACGACGTTTTCGAGGAGCGGGAGGATATCACACACCTCAAAGACAACAGCAAGGTGTGGTACTTTCTGCATCCAAAGCTGGCGTCACGACAGTTCTTCGCCATGGCGGGGAGGCACAGGGAGCAAGGAGATCAGGCTTTAGACCAGGACGATCCCCCGCAGTGCAATACACCTTGATGGAGCGTGAACATGCATTGCGCTCACATGGGCCGGCCAGACAATTGGGTGGAATGCTGGCAGGAGGAGGGGCAGCAACAGGAGACAACCGAGACAGCAGCACAGACAGCAGCAGCCTAGACATGACAGGAGAAGCACGGTGCAGAAATGGACACTGCACCTCTGCGAACGAAGAAGAGGGGAAGGGATCGCCCCAGGAAGTAAGAGATCAATGCCGTGAAACCCGCTGCAAAGGCTACAAAGGAAGCTCCAGCTGCCGAAACAAAAGGTGCAGCAATGGCACCCATTGATAAAGCGACACTTCCAGAAATGGGGGCAAGTGGGCCTGCAGTGCCAGGCACCATACATGACGACATGTGCTTCATCTTCTTCATCTTCATCGTCGTCACCATCTTCATCGTCATCGTCATCGCCATCTTCGTCTTCATCGGCAAATGGCAGTGCTGATACCAATGATTGGCTGAGGGGAATATCCCCAAATGGCCCACTGGGAGGAGGCTGAAGAGGACAGAGCGGGTGAGAGTGGTGAGGATGGACTGAAGGCAACAAGTAGGGCAGGACGGTTTGTTTGTTTGTGGGACTTCATTAATTTGGATTTCTTAAGAATCCGACCCGTTTTGCTTTCCTGGACCCCGAACTCACCATGAACCACTGTAAAACACCCTCAAGTTCTGAGCTTACCCCCCTCCGATTTCCATTTATTTGCGGTATGCCCCTCTGACGGGCGACTACCTCATACCTGTATGTTTACCAAATTTCATCACAGCGGCCTTTATAATCAAGATCACAATAGCTAACTATAAACATGTCAATGCTAGAAGGATTAAAGTTCCCAAAAAACCCCTGGCGTCGTTCGGGCCTGAAATATGTTCAATATGCCCCTACCGGTAACGGTTCCAAATTTCCAGTATGCCCCAGTAGCTCCCCTCCCAGGGCCAGGGGAACGGCCGCGAGTGCCACCGACGGCCACAGGGGCATGCTGGAAAGTTGCACCCCTCACTGACAGGGGCCTACGGAAAACTTCAGAGGCTCCAGGGGCGCGACAGGGTAAGTCGTCCATCGGAGGGGCATACTGCAAATAAATGGTAGTCGGCAGGGCATTTCAAACCCCCCCCCCCCCTAAAAAAAAAAAAGCCAGCTGCAGTTTTTGTTATATGTAAATTTGTAAAATCAACGAGGTCGGGAATTCCTCAATATCTCAACCCGGAGAGTGCTGGGGCCATTACCCAGATTTGGCTCGAGCTGGAAACCGGGTCCAGCGCCCCCATCCCTGTCTGCAACTTCAACAAAAATCAAAACTGGACAAATAATTTGAAATAAACACAAACAGAAATAAAGGAAGAAACTAAGCTGCTGCCTCGTAAGAAGAGCATCCTACTCCTGCTATGCCCTCTCCTTCTCCTTCCTTTTTGAATTCCTTCTTCCTTTATGCTCTCCCCGTTCCTTGTCTCTGATAATCTACCCACCCCAGATGTGCCCTGTAAGCCCCATTTCCGGAAGTCCTAAACCCTAAACCCTGGCTACCCGCTTTTCATGCTATGTCCAGAAGATTAACACTTTCTGCTTGTGAGCAAATAGGTGTCAGGAGGATCGGCTGCTGCCCCGTGGTGTCCTCCCTTCTCGCATGCCTGCGATCCTCCAGACGAGCCTTCGCCTGTCGCCTTCGATGCAGCAGAGCTTTCCGCTTTCCATTCCCCAGCTGCTCTCTCTTTTGAATTTGTTGACAGCAACAGTTTCCTGCGGCTCGGTGGGATCATTTTTAATGAGCTTTGCTGCTTTGTTCCAGTCAGCTTGGTACTCAGCCTCGTCAACAACAATTTCCCACGGCGAGGTGGGATCATTTTTTTAATGCGCTTTGCTGCTTCGTTCCAGCCGGCTTGGTACTCGGCCTGCAGAAGGTGAACTAGGGTCTCCCATGCTTCTGGTATAGCAGTGGTCTGCGAATCGATGGTCTCTTTCCATCTTCTCTTCGATATCACCCAGAGTGTTAGAGGACGAAGTCTTCAGCAGCCCATAGTTTGAGAGGTCCTTTGCCAAGTTAAAGGCAGGGTTGGTTCCGGCAGTCCGGTAAGTCGCGTGATGTTCTTGCCGGGCAGGGGGCGAATCAGTCAAGGAAGCCCATAGTGTTTCTGTTCTACTCGATAGCTGTGTCGTGTTTGGACAGCAGAGCAAGCAATGGGGCAGGTCCTCTGTGGTCCCTTCCTCGCAGAGAGCACACAGGTCGTCCAGCTGCTTCGGACCTTCGTCTGCTTAGACATTTGTTGACTGGCAATGCGTGATAGTAGATAATCCATCGCGTACTTCTGATGCGACTGTTTCCGAATGCCAGGGGGGGGGATATGCCACGAGATCCGTTCTGTTCACAAATTAAGAATACAATTTCTGAAAACTGTGTAAACCTGTCTTGATTCAATGTTCGCTGTTTCACAAATTCCCAAATTCATACCTAGCAGCTGACTGCAGTGTTTTGCAGACATGCGGCGTTTCCCTCACCTCCTGGACCCTTGAGGGAGAGGGGGAAGGGAAGGGGGAGGGGGAGGGGAGGGGGAGGGGGGGAACCCTACTTTGCACCAAGTCCCATGACAGGCCCGCACAGCATGCTCAGACAAGGGGCATGGTGCACCATCACCTGGTGCAGTGAAGTGTGGCCTTGTGCGGCGGAGCTCGAGGGGGACACAGCGCACGCCGGCTCCAGCGCTTGCAAGTGCATGCTATAAATAGTATCAATATCCCCAAATATAATTAGGCAAGCCTGAGCAGAAAGGCAGGGAGAGGCACCCAGCCCATGCAGCTGAATTGTGCACACATAGTTGTTGTCAACCAGATCGTGAGTTCAAATCCTGATGGGATCAGTTCAGATCGATATAATCATGTTGACGTTTCCCTCCTTTCACTTGAAAAAATAAAAAAGCCGAAAGAACAAGTGTAGGGAGGTAAGGGACCCATACCGCATAACCCAGGAAGTACAGAGAGAACTTCATTTCAGGGAAATCAAACCTCTTCAGCAGCCTGCCCAAATCACAAGGGGCCAAAAAAAGGAAATAACCATTTGAGAAAAATCACAGGTGAGGCAACTTAGACTTTACCAGCGAGGGTGAGAAATAAGTTAAAAAAACACAACACACATTAAAAAAGCTGCCCACACCTACTTTCAACTTCGTAGTTTCTTAGTTTTCACAGATGTAATGACCTGCAAAATCAGTCCTTTGGGACATCCATTAAAATTGGAACGATACAGAGAAGATTAGCATGGCCCCTGCAAAAAAAAAAAAAAAAAAAAAAAAACCCTGCAAAAACACAGACTGAAAGACCTGCTGTTTTTTCTGAGTTCCGCCGCTTAGCTGAGTGACTTGTTGAGATTCGCGTCTTCAGCTGAGATTTCTTCTTCTTTTTTTTCCTCCAAAAAAAATGGACCATTTCTCGATTTATGTGTCATCCTTGCGTAGGGCCCATCCATGCTAATCATCTCTTTCTCTTCTCTGTATCGTTTCAATCTTTTTTAACAGACGTCCCAAAGGACATTCTGCTAAGATTTTGTAGTATGTGTGTTTTGAATTTTCGCCACAACAGCGCCTGTTTCACCAAGATGAACAGATCCAAAATCAAAGCATATTTAATTTAATCCTATTACAGACAACGAAAGCCCTCACATGCCCAGCCAGGCAATCATGCAGTCAGGTAAACACACGGAAACTCAGGAATCACACAACACACAACACACACAGACAAAGGGGGAGCGGCAAGAACTAATGAAAGGGGTACCCCAAAGAAAGCAAATGTGAACCCATTCAAGAGAGAGGGGTTTACATGCAGCTATTGTACTTTATGTTGCTTGCTATTGAGCTGAAACTGTCAAACTTTCAGCTCAATAGCAAGCAACATAACGTACGAACCTGGCCATTTTCGGGACCAGGATCAGGCTTTCTGAGCACCGAATTAAAGCACATGGTCGACCGCTTGTGCAGGCCCCCGTCAATTCCTTGAGATTTCAGCCATGCGACCGTACTCCCCAGGCAGAGTGTTTAACGCGTTATAGCTAGGTCCCTCATCAAATCGCCCCCCCCCAAAAAAACACCCCACTTCGCACCTAATTCACCGCCTGCGTGCCATTTACGCCTAGTCATTCCGAATAACACTTGCCCGTGTTGCAAGCACGCTACCTTCTTCCCCCGAACACTGTGCCCGGGATCACGACCGTATTTGGACAGGAAGACGGTTCGTATACATTCATGGCGATGGGGCAGCGTTATATTCAGGGGAGCATAAGCAGCCTCAGATTATCAGCTTGCCTTGCAACTTACAACAAGATCGTGATTCCGACTGCAAAATTTTCATCTCATGGGGAACCCCGACATTAGGACTATTCGACCCACATACAGTTTGACTGGGATGTACAGCCCATCACACTAAGATGGGCAGGACCGTACTCAGCGTACTGTCTCCCCCCAAACAAAACGTACGATCTGCAAGGATCCCCACAGAACCAGTTTGAGAATTCTGCTGTTTTCCGAGTATGGCTGCTTGATAGACTGATTTGCTGAGATTTTCGTGTGTGGTATGAACTTGCTGTGCGCATGCGCATGCATGTGTGTACTTCTCTGTTTTATGTGTTTTCTGCTAACACCAGGCTTGCCACAAATGCCTATGTTTGTGCTCAGAAAGCCTGATCCTGGTCCCGAAAATGGCCAGGTTCATGCGTTCTGCAGAGTACTAACCGTGTGCTTGTTCTGTGTTTTCTGTGCTTCCTGTGTTTTCTGTGCC